TGAGAGTCACTTATAGACTTGCAATAGTCTGAAGAGTCATACATTTTCCATAGAACAGCTTGACCAAAAACTTGATTAGGTGTAATCTACTCCTGGTACTTGAACTTCAATTTGATATGAGAATTGTCCACTTGGGGGTCTTAGGTCTATATATTCTATTAGCCTACCATACAGTCTGAAAGAGGACCCAATACTTTTATCTGACAGTCTTCAGCTTCTTTCCACACAACTCTCTAAGCTCCTCACCAGTTTGATCCTCCCTTTCCAAACACACTGGGCACATATCAAAATCTTTTAACTCATGATTGAAGGAATGCAAGGCCCTCTGACATACACATACTTAAGAATCAAGTGATACTAAAACTGCATGGAAAAAGTGAAGCTCATATTGACTTAAATGACAGAAACTTTGGTGTTGTTTTTTGTGTGTTTATATTTTAATCATTTATCAGATTGTTGTATCTGCAGAGAGAAATATCTAATGAATATTGGTCTTTAAAGTTGAGTAATGCTACATCGTGTCTGTGTGTGTGTGTGTGTGTGTGTGTGTGTGTGTGTGTGTGTTTCACATTCACATTAATTTATCTTTTTAGGGAAATACAGGTGTAAATCACAAGAAAAGATAGGGTAACTGTAAGATAGGCTGGATTTGGGATAGGATTTTATGAGTAAAACAGAGACATGTACTATATTTATGAAATGCTTAAATGTTTATTCACAGAGTGGCAATATAGAAATGAGTTACAAAGAAAAAGACTACCACAATGGAATAGAGTATAAATAATCAAATGAAAGTACATGTTTTAAAAATGCACCTTAAAAATACTTGAATGAGGCCTTTCATGCATAAGTTTGTACTTCTACAAGCTGTGGAAATATGTTCTCCTTATTTACCATTCTTTCCAGCATAAGCTTTCACCAGTGTTTTTTTTATCTCAGCCATGGGGATCTCTGAAGTCTCCAAAAAGAAGATTGAATCCAGACTTGGCAGAGTTCACACTTATTTTAATACCTCCTTGGAAGGCGAAGGCAAGTGGATCTCTGTGAGTTTGTGGCCAGCCTGGTCTCCAAGGTGATTTTCAGGACACCTAGGACTGTAAAACCTGTTAAACCAGACACACAGATAGAGATGGAGACAGAGACAGAGACAGAGGCATACAGAGAGAAAGAACAAATTGCAAACCCCAACAATTTCACTAGGACTACAATAACACCATTAAACTGATCAATACCAATTAAAGATCAACTTGGACTACAAACTGCTCAGAAGAAATTCAAGGAGACCAACTGAGATGATAAAACTTATATCATAAAAGAAATCTTTATGGAACATACGAATTAGTAGCTTAATCTCAACTTGTAAATATTGTCAGGGGAGAAAATAATTGTTCAGGACATATGCATTCATTTCAAAGAGAAACCAATATTCCCTTAGAAACATGCTTTGGGCAACTACTAAAAGTTTTAATCATATTGCCATATGGAGTGAGTCCTTTTGTCCTGGATACCATAAGTAGGACCACTGCTAACTACTTCCAATGTTATGAGAATGCATTGATTCACTCCTTGTCTCTCTTAATCTTGATCTGTTTTCTACACCTAGTTTCCTGTCTCTACTTTGCATATATCTCCTCACTCATTAAGAGCTGAATATTTCCCAGTACCATCCTCTTTCTTCATATCATTATATTGAAATCATAATATTGTTCAGACTGTATAAAAATGATATAGTAATAATTCTGAACATGTGAACAACCAAATAGAATTCATGTCCCTGTTGAATATTAATATTAATTAATATTAATACTCCCTCATACAGTATTAATCAATTTCCTTTCAAACATTGTCTAGAGATCAGTACCCTAGATATTTCCCTAACTACATTGGTATGCCATAGTGTTGAACAGCTTGAGTCTTGTTTAAACCATGATACAGTTAACATATCGTGAGTGATGCTTCCTTGAATCTTCGAGACTTTTTATACGCTGTTCCCTGAGTCCTATGTGTGTCACATGTGTTGAAGCTATCACTTCTGCATCTGACTTCTACATGGCCAGAATACACATTATCAGTTCAAACCTCAGGGAAAGGGACTTAGTACAAACTCAGCATTTCTATGTGTGATGCAAAAATGTTCTTATCCCCAACTCTCTTCAGCTTCTACACTGCAATACATTTTTTTTCTCTTATGCTGTTATCACTCCTTAGTAGCTTTCTTCATACATATACCATGACTTTCACATCTTAGGTTCAACAATGCAACCCAGGCTTAAATTTTACAACTTCATGCAATGGCCTCTCTAGGCCTCCATTCAGGGACATACCTGACCCATATCTGTCCTTCTTGGCTTTATTCGATAACACCATTCTTCTATCCTTAATTCTAAATTACTTAACTCTAGAAAAGAAATCTGTTCTCTTACTTAGCATGGGTTCCTTGTATGCTACTATAATCTCTGCCTGAAAAAGATGCAGTCAGTGGTGCAATTTGTGCATTATATTTGTACTAGAAAATCCTAATTTTCTAATTAGATTTGAGAACATTTCTACAGGAAAAATTTCAGGTCTGGTACTCTAATCCAAGCCTAAAACCCATTACTTATGATATTAGAATGTAGGTAGAGCTATTAACATGTCTTTTCAATATTTTACTCTACCCATTTAATTGTCATTGCTGTAAGATACTGTATCACCTGTTTATGCAGGACACATCCCCTTTTTTTAGATTTCAAATATTTAATTTTCTTTCTGAGTACTACTTATTGAGTTGTACTATAGAAGTCAAACTAAAAATAAAAAAAATTCCTTGAAGAACATGTCCATTCCTTATTTGACATAAAACTGAGTCAGCTAAACTATTCAATTCCCATACAAAACACATGTCAAAGAACTCTTCCAGGTAGTATTTGCATACTAGTGACAACTGTATTCACCTACTTTTAACCAGTATGACTCCAGATCATCCAGAATACCAGAACACTCATTAATGCTACTACTATTTAGACAAGAAAAGAGAAGGTACAGGAAACAGGGTCATGTGTAATTTCTAAAAATCCTCAAATCCTGTTACAGGAAGTAGAAAACTAACTTTTGAGCTGTGCCGCCTATGTAAAAATGGATTTTATTTTTGAGACATCATCTTATTTAGCCCTGGCCACTATTCAACAACAACTCCTCCTGTGCTGGGATCAGAAGTGTATGCCATATCCAGCTGGTGAAACTCTTTTAAGGTCCAAAGATCTAATTACTGATGAAGAAGTGCTTAGCAAATACCTCAGGGCTACTTTCAGCCTTGGTCTCAGATATACTTTGCCTACTTAATCACTAAGAAACTCCTCAGAATAAGAAATACAGACTACATCACTTCATCTCTTCTACTGTTGTTGTGGCACCTCAGATTCTAAAGCTGAGTAGGAAAACCTGAGATGAAGTCATAGTTAAGAAAGGGATTAGAGAAGATCTTGTTTTGTGAAACCATGTAATATGCATTCCTTCTCATTAATGAAAAGTTTTCTGATGCTAGTAGAGTACAAGGTCCACAAGCCACATGATGGATCTTGGTTTTCAACTTGCATGCTTTCAGTGTGTACAGTGAATTCTGACTAGCCCAGCTCTAACTGCAATGATAATTCCTAAATAAAAGCAAACCTAAATTCCCTATAGAAAGAAAATGGGACCCCCGGGATCTTCCCTAAAGTGTGTACATAATAAATTTGTCCCTAATGTAAAGTCAGAGTATATAATATCCTCTGCAGCATGCTATTTTTTTAGGTTCAGAAATAAAACATCTTTTCACTAGACTTGTTTTCAGAACTCCTGATCCACCTGCCTGGACCTCACAAGTACAGGGTTACAGGTCATGCCATTATATCAGAGTTATGTTTGTTATTCCCTCATTTACCCCTCAGCTTAGGGAAAGCATTAAAAATATTAATTTATACTTTTTATATAATATTCATAGTTATGAACTTAAATCTTCACTTGCCTATGTCTTACGTGTTTATAAAGCACTCAGGATTGTACCTTATGTGAGTAAGACTCCTGAAAAGCATCACTCTAACACAATCTTTCTTTTTGGTAAAAATATTCTATGCACATGAATAAAATATTTTTCTTTGTTTGGGAATTTCCTACTCACACTATTTTAGAAAAGAAATCATCTCAATAATTAAAATAGTATTACCAAAGTTTAGACAACTGAGCACCCCCTAGTGTTCAATTTCTGCAACTACTGACCTTAATTCAAAATTGGTATTAAAAACTAGTTTCTAAAAACATTTTGGTAATTCCTTTCCTCCCCCAGTAAGTTGATGACTGCAAAACAATTCATGAAAAGAAAGTACATGTTATCAAAACTAGTATAAAATAGCCAAATAATTAAATATGCAAAGCAGATCTATTATTTTTTGCCTTTTAATAGATTTCTGCCAGGTGTGGTAGTACATACATATAATCTCAACACCCAGGAGGCTGAGAAAGAAGGATCATATCGAGTATGAGGTCCACTAGAGCTATAGTGAATTCCAAGCTAACCTCAGATACAAAGTTAGATCTGTCTCAAAATATAATAAAAACAAACAAACAAAAAAGCAGATTTCAGCCTCCATTTGTATCAAAATCTCTGGGCAACTGGGATATACACAAAGACTGGACAGTCAGCAGCTATGCAAAAGGAGAGCTTAATCATAATTTTAAATGAGTACAAGGCAAATGGTTTATTCAAAACATCCATTTACTTACTGGAAGTGGTCTAAGTAGGAAAGGTAGTCTTTTTTTCTTACATGTTCTTGAGTTCTATTACATCAAATGAACAAAGTGGGCTTAACATATTAACATACCACTTAAGATATTATCAGTTTTGAAAGAATCGGATCTTAGTATCGAATCAAGTCTGCCTCAATAAATTACAATCAAGATAGTGAAAACTTTTGCTTGAGGTCTGTGCCTGGCCACATTTCAAACTTGCAGGGCAATCTTCAGGACCACAATGTAAAATGTTGAGCTCATTTTAGATATCACCAATGTCTTTATCATCATCCCCAATGTCATCAAACTGAATTTCATCATCATCTCCAGGACCAAAGGTATCCGTTTCATTGATTTTAGCATGCTCTGGAAGCTCACCATATTCCTTGAGACTTCTGGCTTCATCTGCATTGTACTTTAAGATGACAATGGCTTTGTTATCCTGGTAATCTCGGAGTCCAATGTGATGTCTTAGATATTTATCCAAACCTTTTTCCTCAATTTCCCTCTGATACGGCACAGTCTCTTTACACCATCGAAACACACTGCTTCTGATTGTCCGTTTCCCAACATTTTGATTACCTGAGTATATTCTTGCCCATCCTCTTTGAACACCAGCTCTTGCTTTTTCAGATTCATTCTCTTTCTTTCCACTAAGTCTATTTTTACTTCATTTTCCTTTATTCTTGGGCACGACGGCAAGCTGGAAGAGTGTGAGACTGTCCTCCGGATGGCAGCAGGAGTGGCGGCGACACCAAAAGGCAACACAGAGAGGCAAGGGATAAGAGCTGTGCCAGAGGACGAGAAGCTTCCTCAGAAGAAGTTGGTCTCTGGCGCTTCCTAGAGCTGCCTGTGCCCATGCTCGGCAGTGACAAATGGCGTCGGGGCTGCTGGACACATCCATTTTTGATGTAGCAAATTTTCTGGTCTTATTCTATTAATTCTAGACACCCAGCTTTCATTTGTGCAATATTTTGATATGAACTCTTTCTAAATTAGCTTTTAAGTTTTGAAGTTTACTTGTTACAGATATAGCACGGGCTGGAGAGATGTCTCAGCTGTTAAAGGCTAGGCTCACACATTGAATTGCAGCTAATATAATACATGTCACAGAAGTGAGGAAATTTACTTGCATTAAAATGTGCAGTAGGAATAATGAGATTATCCAGTGTGTAAAGCTCTGTGTTCCAAAGTTTGTCAATCTATTTATGATTCTTGGAAGCAAGATGAAGGTGGATTTGAAGAATCCAAAGATGTATTTTTTATGCTTGAACAGACAACAAAACACCCTGCTCATTGTACATATACAGAATATGCAAATATTACCATTCACACATACCATTTACACACATACATACATGAAAATGAGTCCCACATTGAAGATTTATATTTAAAACTTAATAGATAACACAATAGCTATTTAAAGATTTATGGCAGGAGAAGAAATTTATTCAGGATACATTGAGAAAGGCAAATGTACTCAACAGGGCAAGAGAATACCTTTGAGGGAAAGTGCTAAGTTAATTATCTAATTAAACAGGAAATGTGAAATGACAGGGGAAAGAATGATGGGTGCAACGTCACATTTCTGAGATTTATGTCATGGACAAATAGGCATTCTGTCATTTTGTAGTCTCTATAATTCAAAACATCAATGAAAATATAATAAGTGATAACAAAGACTTTGCATTACTCAATAAAAACAAGTGCATGATTGAGTGATGTGGTGCAGAATGATGGAAATCTCAAGCAGAAACCTCATTATATGGATAGATTTAAGGTAGGAACATAGATTTAATATTTGCATGATTCTAATTAATTTAAATATCAGGAGCCTCATTACATGAAGTGCTTGAGTTTGCATATTTCATATAAAGAATAAAATGGAATATAGAAAAATACACATGGTAACTTGAACAATTCAAATCCCTTTTCGACTATCATCTATTATGTCCAGTCATTATATGATAGTCAAGATTAATCAGATATGATAATCATATATAATGATTTATTGCTTTACTATATTTATTCAAGTCCTTGGAAAAGAACCAATTATTTTTCCTAAGTCAATTTCATTTTTCTATGTGATCCCAATATGTAATAAATTGAATAAACTATAGAAATGTAGGGACTATACAACACATAAGAATATTTTTAAAAGGTCAGCCATAGTATATGTTTTCATGAAGGTTTAAAAGTTGTTTCTCTGTTTTAAAACTATATTAAAGTTTACATATAATATACTTAAGTAATATTTTTCAGATGGAATATTTTATTTGTTTCATTGATTTGTCTGATTGATAGGTTAGCTTCTCCAAAAACTACTTGAATTTTAATAGATAAAGAGTTTTATTAGGGACCTCCTGAAACTGAGAAGCTTCTACAAGGCAAAGGACACAGTAAGACAAAACGACCACACACAGAATGGGAAAAGATCTTCACCGATCCCACATCTGATAGAGCTCCAAAATATATAAGGAGCTTAAGAAGCTAGCCACCAAAACACCAAACAATGAAATTAAAAAGTGGGGTGCAGAACTAAATAGGGAATTCTCAACAGAGGAATCTGAAATGGCTGAAAGACACTTAAGAAAGAGCTCAAAATCCTTGGCCATCAGAGAAATGCAACTCAAAACAACTCTGAGATACCACCTCACACCTGTCAGAATGGCTAAAATCAAAAATACCAATGACAATCTATGCTGGAGAGGATGTGGAGAAAAAGGAAAAAAAAATCTCCATTGCTGGTGGGAGTGCGAACTTGTAAGACCACTCTGGAAATCAGTATGGCGGTTGCTCGAGAAAATGTGGTACATTTATACAATAGAGTACTACTCAGCAGAAAAAAAAACAATGGAATCTTGAAATTCACAGGCAAATGGATGGAACTAGAAGAAACTATCCTGAGTGTGGTAACCCAGTCACAAAAAGACAAACATGGTTTGTACTCCCTCATATATGAATTTTAGACATAGAGCAAAGGTTTACCAGCCTATAATCCTCTTCACCAAAGAAACTAGGAAACATGAAGGACTCTAAGGGATAAATGGACCCCGGTAATGGGAAGTGTCATGCACTTTTGAGCTAATTGGGAGCATGAGGGTAGGGGAGAAGGAGCTGCCACAATAAGAGCAAGAGAAGAGGAGTAGAGGCAAGTAAATGGAGGAGCAGAAATATTGAGTTGGGGGAAGAATAGAGGAGAGAGAGCAGAATGAGAGATACCATAATAGAGGGAGACACTATAGGTCTGAGAAGAGATCTGGAACGAGATCTCCAGAGACCTACAAGGATGGCAGGCACATCTGACAATCCAGATAATGGTGGAGAAGATAACCTAAAAGCCCTTCCCCTAAAATGAGATTGATTACTACTCTTTATGCCATCCTAGAGCCCTCATCCAGTGGCTGATGGAAGCAGAGACAGACATCCACAGATATACACTGAGCTGAAATCTGGAATTTAGTTGAAGAGAGGGAGGAATGAAGATCGAAGGGGTCTGTACCAGGCTGGAGAAACCCACAGAAACAGTTGGCCTGAGCAAGGGAGAGCACATCTACCCCAGATGCTGTCTGGGAGGCCAGTACAAGACTGATCCAGACTCCTGAACATGGATGTCAATAAGGAGGTCTCTGCACTCCAGGGAGCCTCTGGTAGTGGATTAGTATTTTTCCCTCCTGTAAGAAGGGACTTTGAGAGCCCAACCCAAATGAAGGGATAATCTCTGGCCCTGGACACATGGGGAAGGACCAAGTCCCTGCACGGGAAGATTTGGTGGACTTTGCAGATCCCCCATTGAGGTCCCTACACTGCCTGGGGAGTAGTGGAAAAATGGGGTGGGGGTAGTTTGGGTGTAGTGGAGGAGGGATGGGGGTGAGGGGAGGGAGAGGGAGAAGGGACTTACATGTGAAACAAGCCTGTTCCCTAACTTGAACTAATAAAAAATAAAATAATAAAAAATGTTTTATTAATTTCAGCTCACCAAATCAATATCTTCATTGAGGACATCTGTGGAGTATAGGATAAACAAAGCACTATTATTAATTTACTAAATAATTTTTTATTTCATTATTATAAGAATTGGAAATCAATAATTTTCATGATTTTTCTCTTATTTCATATCAATATTTTTTCTAGTAGCAAAGCATATTTATTTAGAATTTTTGAGTGTATTCTTGTATATTTTTAAATGGAATTCTAAGATCAGAGGTCACATATGTAGGGAAGCTGTAGCCATGCCTTCTTAGGGGCTGGCTACAGGTGTGCCTGACCAGGCTTGTGAGGGCGTGGTCAGAGTGACGTAGTGGGACTGCCTTTTAGGTTTCGGTTTCTCTTTGCTGCTCGCTGTACAGACCTCTACCACGCCAGCTGGCTAGGTTGCTCTGTAAGTAAGGCTTTTCCCTATTAAATACCCTTATAATTTCTACCTGGCTCCATATTGGTAATTTCCCAAAATATCTGGTTGTCAGAAGCGGGATATTGGAAACCTACACCCCATTTGGGACAGGCTGTGGGTTCCATTGGGCCCTCGGCCTAGGCCCGGAAAGTGCCCTCTTTCCACAGGTGCTCCCGGCTAGCAGCCGACCTGCTGCTGCTGAGCTGCTCAGAACCATCCACCCAGCTCGGAGACAGTTTCTAGCTGCCTAGAGTCCAGGTAGGCCT